CAACTATGAGTGAGTTAAGACGGCCATGTTATACAGCCTGGAGATTACCCCCCAATATTACAGGCGGCTATTCTGGGCCAAGAAAAGCCATGACGAATGATGTCCACAAATCCTGTTACAGCTCCTTAGAGATCTCATGAACAAGTGGGTGAGGCCCTCCGTGTATGATCAGGATGCGCTCGCAGACCAAATTCTCCTAGAGCAGTTCCTGGGTGACTTAGAGGACCGTATCCAGCATTGGGTCTGGTGGCACTTGCCACAGAATTGCAAGGAGGCATCTGAGGCTGGCTAAGGCCTTTGCCATCTCAGAAGGGGAATACGGCCAGGAGTGGCCTACCCCGAGGCCGGGGAGCAGCGAGAGGGGGACAAAAGTTGGCCTCTCAGCAAGGCGAGGCCAAGAGAAACTGTTTGCTTTTGGTGTGGTAAGACTGGCCATTTCTCTAAAGACTGCCGGGGCGGGTCAGTAGAACGGTAGAGACCCAAAGTTCTACTTCGGGGCCTTAGGGACAACAGGATGAAATCTCAGCCAATGGAAGCGATAGACTACAGGTATGCAGTCAGAGGGGAAAACGCTGTGTGGAGTTGCCTGTTTGTCATGGCATGGGTGGAAGGCTGTCCGATGCAAGCAGTTTTGGACTCTGGGTGCACCCAGTCCTTGGCCCGAGGAGATCTAGTCCCCTTGTGAGCAACTTGTCAGTTCTTCTCGATGAGGATGTCGGTGAAGCCAAGCAGTTGGAGTGTCGTTGGGTCCACCTACAGGTTATGGAACACCAGGGTAAGCATCAGATCAGAATAGCTGCCCCGACTTGGATGTGAGATGCTGCTCAGGCACAACTGGACCCCCATATGTGACATCCTGGACTGGGACAGGATGTGGAGACTGGGCAATGGCACCACAGGAGTAGCGAAGGGTGGATAGGGGAGTTCAAAGAAGGTGAAAAGTCTTAACAACATGGAAGGGATTGACCTGTGTGATGCAGTAAGTGGAGCGCAGTTCTGGAGCACCCAAGAAGAAGACGAGGAACTCTGCCCGATCCATGAGAGATTAGCTATGCAGGAGGACACTTGGTTGGGGCCCTCATCTGAAACCCACCAATACAAGGTAAAATACTGATTACTGTACTGGGTCAGGGTGGGCTGGGAGGTCGGGCAGGAAGGGGCTCAGTTGGTCATCCCCACCCCATTCCAGCGGCTGGTCTGGCAGCTGGCCCACGCCACACCCATGGGCAGGCATTTAGGATGCAATAAGATGATAGCCTGAGTGACCCGATGGTTCTTCTGGCCTGGGCTGATAGAGAAAGTCTCCCGCATGTACATGTCCTGCTCTGCATGCCAGAAAATGAGGGATGACTGCCTGGTGCGGGCCCTGTTGCAGCCATTGCCTGTCATGGATGCACCCTTCTCTAGAATCACCATGGATGTCATAGGCCTGCTCCTGAAGAGCACTGCAGGACACCAATATATCCTGGTGTTCATCAGCTATGCCACGTGGTACCCAAAGGGTGTTCCCCTCCACACAGTGACAGCACTGCAGGTGGCTGAAGAACTAATAAAAAAGATATCACAGATAGCATCTCCTTGGGGATTCCTAATGGACCAGGGGAGGTCATGTCCGGGTTGCTATGGTCTGTGTGCCAGATGTTGGGCATAAAACAGCTAAAAACTTCCATGTACCACCCACAGACAAATGGTCTTGTAGAGTCCTTAAACAGCATGCGAAAATGAGTGTTACACTGTAGCATACAGAAGGATCCATGCAAGTGGGACCTCCTCCTACCCCTATTATTGTTCGCAGTTCAAGATTCATCACAGCATTCCTTGAAATATTCTCTCTTTGAGCTGGTGTTGGGCCATAGCCCTCGGTGACCCCTCCAGGCCTTGAGGGATGAGTGGGAACAGCCAAGAGACGAGGTGGGCATCACAGACACCTACCGCCAGAAATTCGGGTGATGCTTACAGAAGGCATGAAATCTAGTCCATGAAAACCTTGAAGAAGTGCAACAGTGTCAAAGAGCCAAAATGTGGGAGTTCAGGGAGGGACAAAAGGTACTGGTCTTGCTACTAACCTCCACTAGTAAACGCCTTACCCAGTGGCAGGGGCCTTTTGAAATAATCTGCAGGGTGGAACCCATGGATTATGAAGTCCACCAACCCGGACACAGATGGGAAAGACAGATTTATCATGTAAAACTTCTTAAAGAATGGCAGGAACCCAAAGGATATGGGTCATGTTTACTGAAAGCGAGGTGGAGGATTTGGAGCCCCAGAGTTGTGCTTGGGGAGAGCCCAAGGTCTGGGTGGAAGACCCCGTCCAAGTTGGTGCAGAGCTGTCACCACTCCAAAAGGCTGAGATGGCCTTAGTGAGGGGCTTTAAAGACATCTAGGATGAGCTGGGCTGGGTCTGGGGTGCTCAGCACATGATCCATACGCCCACAGGAGCCATGGTGAGGAAGAGATGGCGTCGCGTGCCCCATCACCTCCACAAGGAAGTCTGCAGGGAGATTGGGGAGTATGTTGGACCAAGGGATAATATGGCCTTCCTGAAGTCTGTGGCGAAGCCCTTTGGTTCCCATCCCAAAACCTGATGGCACTGTAAGATTACGTATAGAACATAGGAGGCTAAAGGAAATAGTGGTCTTTGATGCCTTTCTGATGCCCCATGTGGCCGAGCTACTGGAACACATTGGAAACACATTACATCACCATGCTTAACCTATCAAAGGGGTATTGACAAATATCAGTGGCCCACCAGGATCATGCTAAAACCACGTTTGGAACTCCTTGGGGCCTCTATGAGTTCGTATGGATGTCCTTTGGGCTCCATGGAGCAGCTGCCACCTTCCAGTACTTCATAGACTGGCTGTTGGTGCCCCATGTTCAATATGCGGCAGCCTACATCGATGACATCATCCGTTTTACATGAACCTGGGACCAGCATAAGTGGGCATTGCAAGTTGTACTGATGGAGCTAAGAAAGGCAGGGATGATGGCCAACTCCCCCAAAATATGCACTCACTAAAAAGGAGATGAAATACCTAGGATTCTTGGTTGGATGTGGCATCATTAGACCTTTAGCAGACAAAGTGGAGGCCATCAAGAAGCTTCAGATGCCACATAATTACAGACAACTTTGGTCCTTCCTATGACTAACCAACTATTACCGGCACCATGTACCCCACTTTTCAGAATTGGTGGCCCTGCTAATGGGAGTGTTAAAGGACAGACGGTTGGGACCGATTAAGTGAACCACCGAGATGACTTGTAATTTCAGCCTTCTTAAGGAGGCTCTGTGTAACTTTGTATTAACACACGCTCTAAATTTTTATAAAACTTTTATTTTACAGGTGGATGCTGCAGTCAGTGATCAGGGCAGTACTAACCCAAGATAATGCGGGCATTGAAAGACTGGTGGCATACGCCAGCCGTAAACTCCTTCTGGCAGAGACATAGTTCACCACCATAGAGCGAGAATGTCTGGCAATCCACTGAGCCGTAGACCACTTCCCCTACTACCTCATGGGTTAGGAGTTTAAACTGGTCACAGACCATGTCCTCTTCCAGTGGCTGAGCTGGGCCAAGACGGGCAACACCAGGACAATGAGATGGGCACTCGCCCTACAGCCCTTTAAGTTTCAGATAATACACCATCCGCGGAAAGCTAACACAGTGGCGGATTTCCTGTCTAGGTATGGAAGTGAGACTCAGCCTCCAGGGACCGATGATGATCCTAAGAAGAATGAGACCTCACACACACTCCAAGGCAACTTAAGGTGGGGGATGTGTAACAGGGCTGCAAGAGAAAAAGGATGGAAACCCCTTCTCTGGGGCCAGAACTGCAGCAGGGAAACCCCACGGTCCTGGGGGAACACGCAGGGTAGAACCGTAATGGCGAAAAACTTAGCCATGGCAGGCATGCTGGCTGGGAGCTGACCCCAGCTGAGCAAACTGCCCATGTGGTTCACCAGCTGCCTGTTTACGCAGCTGGAGCCGGTGCAAGGTGATGATATCATCGGGGAATGCCAGCTGGCTCAGATAAAAGCTGGTGAGCAATAGCCAGGAGGCAGCTGGGTGCTTCCTCCGGCATGACCAGAACTACCTTCAGGGTGGGAACCAGGATGGGGTCATGAAGAGAGTTCTGCTTCATAGTCAGAGCAGCAATTGGCACCTGGATCGGGAAGGACGCCGAGGGACCAACTCCTGTAATACACAGGACGCATGAGTAGGGAGTCAGAGTCATGACTCCCTGACACTTTAAGCTATTCTTTTTTTCTTCTTCATTTTGATTGCCCCATGGCTTGGAGGACAGCCGCACCCTTCACTCCTGGGGCTGAGGAACCAAGGGTCCTTGGAGACCCAGAAAGCTGATAAGGCTGCCCAGGGGCCAGTAGGCACACGGTCCCAGGTGAGGGATGAGACTGATGGGTATAACCTAGGCCTGTGTCAATTGTACAAAAACAAAGGACTGTTGTCAGGTAGGTGGCTTGTAGACAGAACGCCGCATTCAGGCCTTTATACTTGAGGCCCAGATCAGGGTCTAGCCACTAGGCTCGGCATCCGAAGTGTCCAGGTTGACCAACACGAGACTGAATCCAGCTAGTTGGCACATGGAAGGGCTATAGGGGAGGTGGAGCCCCAGGAACATCTGCTGATGATACTTCCCAGAAACTCCCAACTTTGTGGGAGCCTCCCACTCCTGAATAAAACAAGATGTGGTGGGCAAGTACCAGGGGTCTCTCTGGGGAGGTGACATGCAATCAGCGAAGGTGCCTGAGGGAAATCAGAGGCGGGATAAGAGCAATGAATCCTGAGCCACTCAAGAATGGCTGCACGAAACCCAGCAGGTACACATAACAATTTAGAAAGGCATGACTGTGTTTTTTATTAATTTCCCAAATATTATGCCTTCTATATAATAATATGGAGTTTTAACAGATAGTGTATTTTATTTTAATGGAATGATATTGGTTTTCTGTTAACATTTTCTTGTGTCTAATTTTAAGGTATTTGGGGTCCAGTGCATCTCCCAAAAGTGGTATGGCCCTCATGGAAGTTGGCATGCTTAGTGGCTTCTCTGCATTACCAGATTTCATTTCATTACATGATCCAATTAAGAAGGTAGAAAAGGACAATGGGAAAGTCAGCCTATACTTAGATTCTGTAAGTTGGACAAACAAGAAAATGCATTTGTAATGACACATATTAAATTCAATTCACAGTAGCTGTTCAATTTCAAGTCAGTACCTTTTATGCAAATTGTAATTACATCCTCTAAAGCAGGAGTAGGCAAAATACTGCCTGCAGGCCAGGTGAAGCCCACCAGGTAATTTAATCCTGCCTGTGGGCATCCACCGATTAATTATACCCTGCCCAGCCCACACACCTCACTCTCACCCTCATGCGCGAAAGGACCCTGGCCCAGCCACACAGCTTCTGGGCGGGGCTGCTCCTGCCACTGCTGCAGTTGCCAGGGTACCTGCCCAGCTTCCCTGGCTTCCAGTGGCTCCCTCTCATCTCCCTGCTGTAGCGCTTGCAGGTGGGGAAGTGGCAGGGACTGGGGTGGGGGGGAGTTGCATATGGGCAGAGGCAGGGAGCATGGGGCTGCGACTGATGGGAGCAAGCAGCCCATGCCTAGCCAGGGTAGTGATGTGTGGAGCTCAGGTGGTCAGGATGTGGGTGTGAGGGAGGGTGGGAATCCCCCACACAGTCCCCTCATGTACTCCCCCCCCCATGGTGCACAGTGCCTGCTGCTAGTGGTGGCAGCAGGAGGTGGGGGGGGCCCTGGGGTGCTTGTGGCCCACGCAGGTGCTGCTGCCCGGCAGCATGTGGCTCCAGCAACAGCTGTATGTGGTGGCAAGGAGTGCAGCCAGGCTGGCCTGCTTTTATCATGTGGGGCTCCTCGCAGCGCATATGCAGCTCCCAGCACTTGCACACCATCGTGGGGAAGGCCCCACGTACTGGAGCTGGCTGCCTTCCCCACTCCCTGCGGCCACATGCAGCTGCCAGGACTCCACTAGAAGTGGCAGGGAACCCTGCTTCCTGCTTCCATGAGAGCAGGGAAAGCAGCCAGCCCCAGTGTGCGGGGCTTCCCCACAGTGGCATGCAAGTGCCAGGAGCTGCATATGCACCACAGGCAGCCCCATGCTACAGAGGCAACCCAGCCTGGCTATGTTCCTTGCTGCCACATGCAGCTCTGGCCAGAGTCATGTACCACTGTGCGGCAGTACCTGTGTAGGTCATGAGTGCCCACCCGCTGCCGACAGTGGGGGCTGTGCGCCATGAGGGGGGAGTGTGTGTGGGGGATCCCTACATCCCCCCCACCCTCCCTCACCCCACAAACCCCACACACTCTCATCCTGCCTCCACAACCCCCCTGCACATACATACATCCCACAACGTACCCTTTGCCCCTCTACACACACACAGCCACACCCTCTCACAACCCCCGCCACACACACCACCACTCCCCAATGACACACTTCCCCACACACAATTTACAGGTGTAAGACTTTATTTCTGAACTATTATGCAATCACTTCTATATACATGACACAAGCACAACTCCCGACAAAAATATTTTTGTAATAAAATTAAAATATGTTATAGTAGGTGTTTGACTTTTAGTGTATAATTTGTTCTTTTTTCTGGTTGAAAGATGCCCCCCTCTCCCCCCCTCCTGGGTTTAGGGGGTGGGACTTCCCCAAGATGGTGACCAGGGAGCAGGGCACCTGTCAAGGGTTGGGGCTACCCATGCAGCCCTCGGCAGCTCACCAAAATTCATTAGGCATCCCCCTAGCCAAAATAATTGCCCACCACTGCTCTAAGGAGTCTATTAACATTCAGTACTCACAAAATGTGATCATACTTTTGTCAACCATTAGGTTGTTTGTATAGGTAAAGTCTATTTATGTTAATAAGCATTTGATGGATGAGCACTTCATAAATAGTCTGCCTATTTATGCATAATTTTAAGTGGTCTGTGATTTGTCAAAATTTCCATTGAGATCAGGTTAACGACCTAAATCCAGACCCTGGTATTTAATGTGATACACTAGCAGCTCATTTAATTTCCATCCCAGCCCTTGGCCTCACTATTTCTAGATTTCTCACAGCTTTTTCTTGTATTTTCCTAGCTAAATGAAACACAGGTTTGTGTGGATATTCCTGCTGTGAGAGACTTCAAAGTAGCAAATACTCAAGGTGCCTCAGTGATTATAGTGGATTACTATGAACCAAGTAAGTGTCATTCATTCTTAATAGATCATGGTGATTCACAAACTAAAAAAGGGAATTACTGTATTTCTGAAAGTAAGCAACAAAGATTTTTAATAAAGAAAAAGCCACATTGCACTGAGAAGTCACTCAATACTTTTTCAGTGGCACAGAAAGTTTATTGGATAGTAACCTGAAAACATCTTGAGAGTTATATAATGAAAAATGGCATTATCTCCTCTACATTATTTTTGTCTTAGTGGGTTGGTTCCTCAGCTGTAAATTGTCATAACTTCATTAAAGCCAATATATACCAGCTGAGAACTTGGCCCAGAATGTTTCCAAAATTACCAAAATGAGGCATGAGCTCTATTGTGGTTCCTATTTAATGATCATCTTTCAAGTAGCTGTTTCACCTGTTTCATATTTAAATTAAGAGTCCTGTAGAGGAGAGGGTGTCAGTAGTATGTTTTCAACAGTTATGTAAAAAGATATATATTCAAAAATATTTCCAAAGTTTTTCTTAAGAAGGGAATGTGTTTTAGAGAAATTCCTTAGTATACAATGATGCATTTGACATATGTGCTCTAAAATTTTCTGTCACCACAGTTGCTTACAGAAGATAGGTGTATGTGTATATAAGTTAGGAATAGTCTGATCAGATCCTTCACTAACTTGCTTCATTGCTTCTATACCAGGGCTTGGAGGAGTCTGGGGAGTCCTTGTTCCATGGTTGTGTCAAAGAATGTTTTATTTATAGATGTCTAGGAAACTGAATTTCAGTTCAACAAGAAATTTCATGCTTTTGGAAAATATTTTATTCCAAGTTGGGATAAAAATCCAAACCTTTAGAATTTTTTGATAATATGAAATGATTTAGGATATTTTATACAAATTTGCAGTAGAGTTTGTTTTGAAGATACCAGAATGTTTTTACATTGGGAATGCTTTGATGTTTCTGAACCAAAATCTACTTCCTGAGTTCCCAGGCTGCCTGGCTGTGAGGCAGCATGCCAGGTGAGCTTCTCAGAAAGTGGGAGCCTGGAAGCCCCAGATGCATCATGTGAACAGCTCTCCGGGGTTCCCAGATAGCTCAGCAGACTGGTTGTGTGGGGTGTAGGGAGATAGGATAAACGGACAAGCAGGAAGGAAACACATTCCTACGGGATATCCATTTCAACAAGTTAGGCAAATTCAACCAAAAACAAGTGCCTGACTAGATCTAGTTTTATCATTATGAATTCAAATTCTTATAAGTGTTAGTTAGTATATTTCTATGCTGATAGAAAGAAAACACAAAAATGGGACAAAGATTAATTTTAAAATCTAAAATACATTTGTCTTTGTACTGGTTGGCATTTGACCTTAAGTGTATCCAGTTAAAGATACTTTCCCCGTGACGTTAAATATGTTTAAGATCTTCCTCTTTTTGCCATATACATTTGTAAGGTGTTGGGGTTTTTTTGTTAAGCATTGTCCAGGTTCTGATGATGGATTTATATAAAGAACATAGTTTTCTTTCTGAGGATTGGATTTGTCAGATAGTAGTCATGTCATGTTTCAGAGGTTTAGTTCATCACACCTACTTGGTTTAAGAAAGAGATGTAGAGTATATATCAAGCTTGTATGAAAATACAGACTAAATATTTGTTAGACAATTTTCATTATGATCATAAGCTAATGCTTATTAACTTTTCTGAACAGGAAGAAAAGCAGTAAGAAGCTATAATTCTGAAGTGATGCAGAAGTTGTCATCTTGTGTCTTCTGTGAAAGTGACTGCAATCTTTGTGAAAAAAAATCCACTGATGGTGCTCAAGGATTGCTCCTGCACTCAGAGACTTTCCTTTTCTGCATATTGCTCACAATCCTTGTAAACTTGCTGTAAAGCTGGCTGGTGTAAGAGGATACTACTTATATTGCACTTCTAAGGTTTGCATAAATTACCCAAAGAAAGTTTTATATTCCAAGGGGCTAATCCTTTTCCAGTGATGTCAGTGACAAAACTCCTGCTGTGTACAGCAAGAGCAGGATTGGACCCATACTTTAAGCTCCTGGCTGTGCCAGAAAATGTTCTTAATATTTCTATTGGAAAATATTAATGTGCCTTTTTAAATGTTAGTTTCATATTGAAGTTATTTTCTAAAGAAACGCAGAATAAGATTTATTGAGCAAACAGTTATGGCTAAGTTTATATTTTCTAACTGTTCCTTCTTTCTTCTCAGCCTAGTTTTTTGATTTGCTTACTGTTATGGTTTTATGTTTAAAAATAAAGAAAATTATGTTTATTTTATAGAGCTGTGCTGAAAAACCACCTACTCCTCAACTTCTCAGTTAGGCTGTTAGTAAGCAAAAGTGTGGTGGACTATTTCTGCAAACAAAAGGCACTTAACATAACACTAATTTCCATTGTCCTTGTTCCTGAGTGAATAATAGGAGCAATAAGTGGAGCTGGCTGCAAAGTGGTTTTGAGAGCTAGGGGGTAATGTGTACTCATAAGTAGCTGAGTAGTCCAGAACACTTTTATATTTTTTTATAATTACAAATTAAGTAACTTTTTGCGAACTGGATATGTTTAAAAATAAGCTGTTGAAAGGTTTAAGGACTTTTCCATACTTTTTACACTGCAAGGTGCTTTTGAATACTACACTTACCCCACATGGAAACAGATGCCTGAGTTGCAACAGAGTTTGTCATTCCAGGGCCGGCATGGTTAGCCATCTTCGGACCCACAGATAAGCCAATCATGGAAGACAATCATCCTTGACTGTGAGGGATTGCTGAAGAAGATTATTTAATATTTGCTATTATGTCTCTCTCTTTTTTTAAAGCAACCAAAATGCTGAGATTTTCATTTGTTAAAAATATAGTGCAATTGTAGCTGTGATAGAACCTAACAGACACAGAAATTTTAAGTCTACCACATAGCCTTCATTCACATAGCTGTATGTTTTGTGTTTTGAATGTGTGTAATTATTTGGTAGTCAGTGTGATTTTTTTTTTTTTTTTGGAGTATTGTATATTTTCATCCAAGCTCTGCTTTTGCACTTAAACATATGGCTTATATGCTTATCTATACTTTTGGTTAAACAGGTAATTAATTCACAGCAACACTGTGTGAAGAGATACAAGGATTTCTGCCTTGGTTTTTGTTTAATACTGAGAGTTTCCTTGTAGTCAAGATATAGTCTAGGGATTTTAAGGACCTGTTCTAAGGGTACATATATAAAACAAATGTTTAGGATATTTTTTAACTTTTGGGTCTTATTCTCTTACTTTTATTCAGGTAATCAGAGCTCCCAGCCAGTGGTGCATAGTGGAGCCCTTGACTCCAGCTGCACCCCAAAGGCTGGGAGCCCGGATCTGTCGCTGCTTCCAGCTGAGCAGGAGTATCAGAGCCAAGGTCTCTGATGCACCTCTGTAGCTGGGAGTGACAGCTGATCGTGGCTTCATGTCAGTTTTCTTCAATTTAGTCAAAATTTTAGGAACATAGAGCATGCATACTTTGGCTTCTTTTGTATATAAAGCCATCAAGAGGAAAATTGTCATGTGGTTGCTATTATGACAAAGAGGCTTGTTTTCCATTGTAAAATGTACTGAGGATGAACTTTTGCTTTCATGCCACAGGTAGTGGAACCCTACCCCCCCCATATTTTTTGTTGCTGATGCTACCTTCCCAAATGCCCTCCAGAAATGAAGGATCAGATCATTCAGGCCAACGCTTTTTGCATTGCATCTTTTATTAGTGCTCCCTTTCATTTGTTTTTCACAAATGAAAACATGTTTCTGAAGATTTCTTGGCTGTTAGCCACACTAAGAAGCATCAGTCATGATGCATCATGTCATGGAAAGTGTCACAGTCAGGATGTAGAGAGGGATTTTTATGTACAACAGGACCCTTATTAAAAAAAATCATATCTGTCTCTACACTAAACCAGATCGAAGTGAGAATGAACATGCATAACATAGCTTGGTGCCTGGAATAGAATGTTCAAACCAAACTGCTTTGACAAGCCCACCTTGCTGCTATAAGTAACATAATCAAATTATTTTTAAATCAGTGAATGCCTTTCATTTCATATCAGGTTCACAGGATAGTTCTCTAAATGTTTAGATTTTCTAAAATATATTTACCATGGTTCAATCTGAGTTGAGGGAGTATAATGCGTCATAGTGGGCTGTTTTAATTCTCTTATTGTATGTCAGAACCTGTATAAAATTGTTTAGTATAAATATTTTTCTATTGGTCCAGGAAATCTCTTTTCCTGGGATAGGAGTCCCATTAAAGTCAGTAGAGGAGATTAGATCGGGGTAGGCAACCCCTGGCATGTATGTGAGAGCATGTCACACAAAAGCATTTTGCTTGGCACTAGTATTGGGGAAGGAGCCAGGGCTATGCTGCCACAACAAGGATCAGGTCCCTTCTGGCTCCTCCAGCACCTGCTTCTGGCATACCAGCAACTTACAAGTTGAAGTTGCAAGTGTTTTTGTCACTCTGCCCAAAAATGTTGCTTACCCCTGGATTGGACATACCTTTCAACTGGAATAGCATCAAGTCCTCAAAGAGCACTATTGTAAATTTATTGTAAGATTGAGTCATATTGTGCATTGTCTGGGGGAGATGATTCTGTTGTTGCTGCTTATTTGAAACTTCAATACTTTTTCATGCTTCTACCACCCTCCTGAACAAACACTGATGCTCAGTCCACAATGTCACTATTATATAATCTAGCTAGGAAGAAATCTCCCTTTGCTTAAAGTTAAAGCTAAAGTACTGTGTATTTTGAACATATTCAAATGCTGCTGTTTTTCATCCATTCAGTCACTGAAAATTAGATGTATGTAGCCAAAGGCAGAATAAGTCCCCTTTTGTTCAAAACAGTCGTACATATTCTGTATGTATATAATATAGAAGCTTGTATGCATAAGAGTTTATCATGGGGGGAATGTTTGTCATTAGCTGTGCATACTATACAATGTATATAGATCTAGAGTTTGCAGGCAGGGCCAATTCAAGTTCTGCCAGAGTTCCCAGCTAGGTTCCCTGCTGCTGCAGGCTTTGCAGCCATGCATACACATAACACCACGAAGAGAAATTAGGTGAAAAGATAAAATTCCAAAAAGGCTCTAAAGTAACTTAGGAACCTAAATCACAGCACCTTTCACTTGTGAAAATTGGATGTAGGCTCCTAATGGCATGTTAGGCAGTTTTCAAAATTTTCCTTATAAAAGTGTTTTCCAAAACCAGTGAAATAAATGTGACTCCTTCTATTGACTTCCGTCAGATTTAATCAGGTCCAGATGTTCTGGAGCATGTGCATAAGCACATTTGTTATGTAGACTGGATTTCAAAACAGTGTATGACAAAGTTTGTTAAGAACGTGCAATATAGATTTTTTAAGAAATCACCAGGTAAAAGGAAAAATCACACCCCAGAGTTACAGATTACATAAAAAGAGTACTGAGCTTGATGAGAACTGACAAATTTCACTAAGCACAGGTGTTCAAAAAACCTCTGGCAGGAAGTGCTTTAGCTATCACACTTTACTTAAAGTGCTATAAGTTAGAGGACATTCCAATGGAACATGTGCACTGTTCTGTGGAGGGGGGGCTTGGTGCCTGCCTGCATTGGTCAAGGTCAGCAGGCAAGGGGCTCTCCTACAGGCTTCCCAGGCCCACCCCCACTGCCAGCTAGGGAATGTCAGCAGTGGCTGGGGGTCGGAGTGGTGGAAGGGAGCCCCGCAGCTACACAGACCTGGCCTGCTCTGCCCCTGACCACAGGCAGCAAGCTGCTGGGGGAAGGGGGCTTATGACAGGGGATCTCCCTCCTCCAGTTGTAGCCAGAAGTGACAGCACAAATTCCCTGATTTGCTTTTTGCCACTGGGTGAGGTGGAAAAGGAGCCTCCCCTGCTAGGCAGCCCTACACCCCAGCTTCCTGGCTTGGGTCTTGGTGGGGACAGAGCTAGGCCCATGGGGCTCCTTTTCCATCCCCTCCACCCCCCAGAGTTCCCAGCACAGCAAAAAGGGGAACAGGGAACTTGTGCTGCCAGTGCTAGCTTCAGCTGGGGGAAAGGACCCCCCTGCCATGGGGGGTGGCCCAGCTCAGCCCCCCAAGACCCCACCCAGCAAGCTGAGGGGAGCTGCCCAGCAAGGGGGCTCCTTTTCAACCCCCGCCAACCAGAATTCCAGGTGCG